TATTTTACTAATGCTACCACAGAGTCATTTATTTCAAATATGTAATTTATTTAACATTTGTTGGGAGTGTTAGAGCAGCAGACTATTCAAACCTATAGAGCAAACATTGTACCCCACCTGTGCTCCTAGCTCAAGTATGAAGCAGTACAATTAATCTACATTTGCTACTTAATGAGCTTCTAAAACACACATGTACTTAAAAATCTCAGTCATAACTCACAGCTTACTTGGACATTAGTCCACATCCGAGCTTTGCTACTGATTTGGGACAAGACAGGTTATTTAGCCTGTTATTATATTTGTTTCCCACGTCTGAAAGTAGATGATACTTCTCGAGTCACCCCACAGGGATGTTATAAGACTGAATTTGCTCAAGTTTGCAAAGCTTTTTGTGGTCCTTGGCTTACTGTGTGGAAGTGGAATGCAGTACACATGTGCCAAATATTCCTGCTATCCTACAGCAACTGGGGACAGATTTTTCACATACCAGCTCTTTTACTCTGGGACAAATGGCTGCTGAGTCAAGTGGTGATGGAGCACATTGAGGACAAGGCAGACAAAATGCAAGCAGAAAAGCAAACAGTTATTCTAATGTTGCAGAAAAACAAAACTAAAACTCCCAGTAAAATCAGAGTCTCTATAAACAAGAGAACAACATAACCCCTTCTCAGAAGAATCTTTGACAAGCTGTTGTATTGATAGCTGATTCTGGCAGCTGGCAACTGCAGAATATTAATGAAGCATTGGTAGAAGAGCAGTCTGAACAGGTTGATCATGACTGACTGAAGTCTACGGTGCATGATATCAAGATACATTATTTGTCTGTAGCATTCGTTCTTAGTTTGACCTTGTTGCTTGCTTGCTACTTTCTCTTTCTTTTTTTCCCCTTTTTTCCTTCCTTTCTTTCCCTTCTTTCCTGCCTTTCTCCCTCTGTCCTTCCCTCCCTTTCTCTCATTCACTAGTTCTCATTTGCTCAATTAAGTTCATATGCGCCAAGATCTATATAGTAAACAATTTTGCATATCAGATGTTTTAAAAGTGTCCT